TTTCGTGATTTTTATAAAAAGTTATGATATTTTTTTGATTTATTGTTTAACATGTACGATCAAATATCTCGTTTATTTACAAAAAAAATGTGTTTGCGTGTTTTTTACAAATTTCTTTCAAAATTACGTTATTTTGACAAAAAAAACTTTATAAATCATTTCATTGGCCACTTTCAATTATGTACTTAAACTTTTTAGATAAACTTTATACCAATACAGAATCAACTATCTATTATTATATTTTGTAAAGGGTGAATTACAAAATAACTAAAAAAACAATAATAATTAGAAAGTAAAGAAAACTAGTGTACGTGGCAATATATTAACCTTTGAATTTAGGTTAAATGGTTAGAAATTCTATTATCATTTTTTTTATGGTTATTACATGCAATTTTCCTTTTGTAAAATATATTATAGACTCATGTTCTCGGATCTAGGACGGCAATAAACAAAATATTAGGAAACGTCGGATAGAAAAAGAAATTATAATTGCAAAATTAAAAATTAGAGCAGGTAAAAAGTGAACTCATATGGTAAAGATACTAAGCACCATTAACTTGTTAATTTATTCTTTTTTTTTTTATCTAAACTTGTTAATTTATTCTAATAAAACATAGTTACTGTATATCTTTGGGGAAGAATAATCAAGTGGCCTCGAACAAATAAAGTGTTAATTATTTGTATGTAACGAAAGTTAAATAAACCGTGAATTTATATATATAGTGGGACACTTGTGCCAAAGAGAGATAGTGTGATGAGGGAATTTTTTTTCTTTTTCTTTCTTTAATGACTCGCTTTAACTCTGTTTTTATTCCCACTCATCCCTTTTTAATACTTATTAATATCTTTATAATAACTACAGTATTCGCTAATTGTAATCCGAATACTCGTACTAATTTGTTTTTTTCTGTCTAAGAAGTGTTTGAAATTTTATGTTAGTTGAATAATGAAATAACGGAATAGGCAAATGGTCAAATAAAAAAAGTTACATTAATAACATTTCGACCAAAAAAATTACATTAATAACATTTTTAATTATATTTTAAGACGTACATAGTATATTACGGAATGTTTTTCAAAAACATGAATATATTTTACATAGTAAACTTAGCAGAATCTTTCCAAAATAATACGTAAAGTAATATATCATTTATCACCTTAAAGTTCATTACATTTTATAAACATCTTGAAATACAAAAATCTTAGTGTTGCGCTATTTTTAGATAAACATAACATGTGCTACTGTCAAATGGATGGTTAACCGGTGGAATATGTGAGAAGGTACTCTAACAAAATAAAAACAAATATTAGAGGTTGAATTAAGAAAATTCTAGAACGGGAAAACACATTTTGACGAAATGAAGTTAAAAGAGAGAAACTTCTAAACAAAAAAAAAAGTTAAAAGAGATAAAATTACAAAACTCGAAATACCAAAAGAAGAATCAATGATTGACAGCTCAAGAAAAATTTGGTCAAAAAAATATCCATACCAAAAAAAAAAAATTTGATTTAGAAAATAATACAGTTATGTGAAAAAAACTAGCATTATTTCATAGAAGTGCCGAAAACAATTTAATCATTCGCTTTAACCCAATATATACACATAAAATCCAAAATAATCTAAAATAATATTGGAAAGAAAAAAGTATCCTCAAATAAAAATATCTACCCAATCACATAAGAAATCGAACATAGTTTTTTTTTAAATTATTTTCAAAGAGTACTCTAGATTAAAAAAGAAAATCTAATCCCTATAAAGAAAAAATGAAGTAAAATGAAATAGACCATATCAACTGTAACAAGTTACAAACTCTGCTACATTTTTTTTAGATTAACAGCAACCAAATTCTTACCAACTACCATAGTCTATAGATTTGCAAGGTACAGATGTCCTTATTTATTACAATGATTAACATATTAATAAAAAATATTCTAGATTCCATATTTCCGTATATTTTTTTAACGAACCAAATAGTTTTATCCAAACAATTAGT